TTCTGGCAAGCACAAAGTATACCTCTTTTAGGATAATTAAGAATCTTTTATAATTAATAAAAACTCTTTACATAGGAATATCTAATGTTCCTCTCACCTTTTGACCAATATCATCATGAATGACAATATTTCTTATTTTTTGTAACAAATGACTTAAGAATGAAAGTGAGGACATTGATGTAGATATCTGTTCTTGAACATTTTTGCGCAACAAAAAATCCTCCTTAAAAAAAAATTATTATTAATATGCAAACATATTAATTTTTTTAAAACAAAACAATACTACAATTAAGTATAAGATTTATTCATAAAAGCACCTTCGAAATCAATAATTTAATACTGTAAATTCCTATTAAAAATAATATGTTATAATTTTAAAGGCCTATTTTTATGATTTTAGTTAAGAGGATGCTCTTTAGTAATGAAGGAGAAATTCTCTTTCTAATTCATTACTAATTTGAAATTTAAAGTGTAGAAAAAGTGAGTTCAGACAAACCTTGAGTAAGCCATGAAGTTTTAAATACTGAAAAGAAAAATTTAAAAGATACAAATGTAAACAAATTGTGAGAAGATAACTTAGGATTAAGCAATTGGTGAAGTTCTTTTCTAATAATTTGTTTGCATTTTAATATTATGAAGTATTTCTTTCAGCAGTTGAAACTTCATAACTTACTTTAGATTTGCATGAATTTAATTTTTCTTTTTTAAATTAGTAATGAATGAGAAAGTAAATGTACGGCTGTTCAACGACGGTTATAAAATAAAACAACATATAAGAAATTGTGATTAAAAAGAATATTTAAAATAAACCTTCATCCAAGTTGAATTAGTTGGAAAAAGTCGACTGTTCATAGTTACAGAGTCTTTAAGGTGGGGAGATAAATCACCAGCAAGTAGTAAGACGTGGCATCTATAAAAAAATATTTCCATTAAATATAGCTGTTTTTTCTTCTTGTTATTTAAAAAATAATACATTAACAATAAAACAATCTAAATGATATTGAAGATATTTATCTTTTCAAACAAATCAGTTTTCTGGCAGTAATAGGAAAATTTTTATCAAATTTTCCCTGAACAGTAAATTGTTTTGCCAAATACCATAAAGTGTTTCCTTGTAGGAGAATTAAAATATCAGTGGTCTGTCTAGGTTTTTATGAGAAGTACTTACTTTGAGAAAATGTAGACATAATTTGTGAAAATAAGAATTATATTAAAAAAAGAACACAAAAATNGGCACAAAATCTTTGGAGGTTGATTATGAATTCAACAAAAAATCATGGATGATGGCAGACATTTGTGAAAAATGGATTCAAAAGTTGGACAAACTTATGATTTCAGAGCATCGCAAAATTGCTCTAATTTTCGACAATTGCCCTGCCCATACGAAGGAAATCAACAAAAAACTGAAAAACATTGCAGTTTTTTACTTTCCTCCAAACACTACATTGAAGCTACAACCAATGGATCAAGGGGTGACTCAAAACTTTAAACTGCACTACTGCAAAAGAATTGTATGAAAAGTTATCACTGCGCCTGAAAATAAGCAATCAATGCCAAAGATCAATTTGTGAGAAAGCATAACAGAAATTTCCAAAGCATGGAACTATGATGTTACAGATCGTACCATTCGTAACAGTTTTGCTAAAGCTGGATTCTTTGTCAATGCTGAGAATTGGGAAAGTGGGGACGAGGATGATATTCCTTTAGAGGAATTTAAAAAAATGTGGGTACAACTAAGAGAGAACATCGAAATTAATGATGATGTACAGATAAATGATTTTCTTTCTATTCATTCTGAAGCTGATACCACCGAAAAATTGACTGAATCAGATATTTTGGACTGTGTGAAAAATAAAAATACAGCTATAAATTGTGAGGAAGACAGAAATGATGAAGAAATTAGAAAACCTTCATATGATGAAATGTTAAAATCATTTGAAACAATTCAACGTGGATTGCAGTTTGAGGAGAATACGCCTGAGGGAATTTTTGGTACATTACAAAAATGTGAGACCTATTATGAGAAAAAACACTTTTTCAAACAAAAAACTCAGACAAAATTAACAGACTTTATCAATAGCAATTAAAATTAAGAATGCATGTGAAAATGTATGTTTAAAGTTACATTTATAATAAATGCAGCAATAATTTTAATATATAAAAATTTAGCATTTTTATTCAGGGGAAAATATATGTAGCATGATAGTATAACACTGGATAATGTTTTGTTCTATTCTTACTTCCATTGCAGATTTCTTGTATGGGTAAGATTTAGAAAATAAATAATA